GCTTCTGGGGTGATGAAAGGTGCTGGCGGTGCGCGCTGGCGTGCGTGCTGCTCAGCTGAGTAGTAAGAGAGAGAGAAGTGGCGCGGGTACGGCTGGTGTAGCGGGTGCGAGACGGTGGTCGAGGGGTGTAGTGAATAGGATGTTAATGGCGGTATGTAGATCGACCTGGAGGAAAAGAGATAGAGTAAAGCGGGATCTTGAGAAGAGAAGTGAGGCAGCAGTGTTGGGAGCAAGATAAAATAGGGTGCGAGGAGAAAAAAAAGAAAAAAAAAAAAGAGAAAACCAGGGGGGAGGGGTACGCTCCAACTGGTTTTTGTCGGTTCAGTACACTCTGTTTAGGCCTGCGTGGAGAGACGATTCAGAGCCCTGTCCGAGACTCCCCTCTGGGGGATTCCATCGCTCTGGTGTGTGTGCATGCGTGATCTGGTCGTTGTCTGGACGTTCGCTGTACTAGTTAGCTGTCTGCTAGTGCAAGGGGCGGGTGTGAGTGTGAATGAGAGCGTTAGAAGAGATCTGATGGGAGAGAGTTGAGTAATGCAGCTTGGCTAAGAGTGGTAGGGTTGAGTGTGTGTGTGTGTGTGTGTGCGCATTTTGTGTGGCCGCTGACGATATGTGTGCGTGTGGCTGTGGAGGAGGCGTAGCGCTAAACCTCCGAAGCCGTGTTTAATATCGCTGGGAGAAGCGAGAGGCTTAGCACGAAGGAGCCCCCGTCTTCCCGCCACACACACACACACACACACACACTCCTCCGCAGTAAAATGAGACACCGCCCCCCCTACCCTCTTCCCTCCGTCCTCTGATCTCTCTCTCTAGAATGCTTCCCTGCGCTCGCCTGCAATCAATGCATCACTCAGACATTTAACCCCTTGCAGAGCTGCCTTGTATGCTCCTCACATAGAACAGATATGTGTGTATTACATATAGCAGGTGATGCATGAGTGGCTTTCCCTGCGCGATGAAGAGGCACCAGTGGAAGCAATAAAGTTGGTGCGTGCCTAGACAAGTGAAATGCGTGGATACTGTGTGTGTGTGTGTGTGTCAACCTGTTGTTGAATGACTGGTGCTAGTGTAAAAGAGGAAGCCGGAGAATCTAAACTGTGATGATCTCAGAGTTAAATAATCCCATCTAACTGATGCACACACATGCTGTTAGCTAACTGAAGAATAAAGACAAAAAAAGAGGAATAATCACTTGTTACCTGTTCGTTCACAATAAATTTAATTAAGTCTCGACCAAAGACCTGCTCTGCATATTAAGCTCATCAGCTACATACAAACCTAATGATAAAAACAGACCTCATTTAATGTGGGTCTGGCGTCTGCTCGTACCAGAGAGTAGCATAGCCAAAATTCAAATGTCCTTGCAAATGTGAGTTAACTAGTTACCGAGCTGCTGTGGTGTGCGAGCTAACTGCTAACATACTGCACGCTACAGTAGCTAGCCTGATGCTAACATGGTGGCGCCAGGCAAAAACCTCCCAAAGCTAGCGGGCTAAGACACCAGTTGAACAACCAGTCAGAAAGCTAGCTAGCTAGCTCAGTCACTAACTGGATAAGTTCAACCGTTTAGTTCAAAGGAATAAATTGTATATTGGAGCGGTTAAATCTCCAGCAAAGCAGAGTAAGGTGTATGAAATGGAATGGCTTGATGCAGTCAATATGCTAGCTTCCTCTATTTTGGGCTTTGTGGGCCTTTGTTCCCTCAAAGGTCGACACATTGTTTGCGGTCAAAGGTATATTTTTTTAGAGTGAAAGTTCACCAACGTTGAATTTGGAAACGTCCGTGTGGATTTACTTAACTGCACTAACAAATCCACCGATAGCTGCAAATTTAGTCCAAAATGTTGCTATCATAGATGCTGGTTTACCCGGGCACTTCAAATGTGATCCAGTTTTTCTCTTTGCTTGGATCACACATGGATTTGAGAAGGAAAATCAGAAGTGATTCATGTGTGGAGAATAAATGACAGATTGCACCTTTATCTGAGCTTTCAATGGGCAGAGCTGAGGGGCCCCGAGCCCCGGCACGAGGGAGAGAGGGATGAAGACATCCGCAGAATCTCTCCTCATTACCATTTCAAATGCTCAGAGAGCGAGGCAGACGAGGGAGGGCGAAAGAATAAAAGGGGAACGAGGGAGGGAGGAAGAAAGAGAGAGTGGGCTTTCGTGTGCAGAGGCACGGATCGCAAAACTAAACGAACATGAAATATGCACGGTGTCGTCCGGGCACTGGGAAGAGCACAAAATGGTTGCGCGTGTGTTAAATTACATGCATGTGTGCATGACGTGATTCTGCATCCTGCATGTGCAGGTCTGTACACGAAAGGATGCTTGTGCATGTGTTTGCAGGGTAACAACCTGTGTGTGTGTGCATGAGGTGATTCTGAATTTGCATGTGCAGGTCTGTGTGGGCGTGCGACAGCGAGTGAGTGTGGAGAGTCGTCGCTCTGTGCAGCATATGGAGAAGAACACGTCAGGATGCCTGTGCATGTGCTTATTGGGTCATAACGGGTGTTTCTGTGTGTGTGTGTCTGTGTGTGTGTGTTCGTAATCAGCATGTGAGCTGTGTGTGTGCCTCTGTCTCTCAGGCCCTCATATCTCTCTGCCTGTGTGTGATAAGCCCAGAGCTTGCGGCGCTAAAACACCAGCGTGAGACAAGCGCTCTGTGCGTCTACAGGCTTGTATGCAAGTGTGTGTGTGTGGGGCGGTATGCATAAATTGGTGTGTCTCTCTGCACACGTCCTTGTGTGTGTGTGTGTGTGTGTGTGTGGTGTGGTGTTGGTGTGTGTGTGTGTGAGTGATAGAGAGTCCGTGTGTGGTGTGTGTGTGTGTGTGTGTGTGTGTGTGTGTGTGTGTTTGTGTGTGTGTGGAGCCCAGGGGTCTGGCCCCAGGCTTTAATTCACACACAGGCAGTGAGGACCGAGCTCCTGAGAGAGAGGGAGGACGAGAGAGGGAGAGCCGGAGGGGAGGAGAGCGAGCACAGAGTGCGTGCTGTGTGTTGTGTGGGCGGCGGTGTTGTTTGCCGCAGGCGTCAGGCCTTGTTTGTGTAGTCTCAGGTTTTTCCTCCTCTTCCGCTCCTTTTTTCCTCTCCACAGCCACGCGGAGTGCAGGAAAGAGGAAAAAAATGTGGCGAAGGGGGATAAAAAAAAAAAAACAGGAGGCGCAGGGAAAAAAACGTTCGAAGAGACCAGACGCATAAATCAGAGAGACGAGCCAGCTTCTCTCCAGCAACCGCGCTGCACTGAACCCTGCCTGCTGCTGCGCTGCACCTGTATGTGTGGTGTGTGTGTGTGGGAGGGAGGGAGAAAAACACCGCCGCCGCCACTCGGCCTACCACAGTCCACCACGCGCACATGTAGAGGCCCGCCATCTCAGACCTAGAACGCGATTATACTCCCAGTGCTTACCTCTCATTCACACTCTTGCTCTCTCCCACTCCGACTCACAAAAATTCACATGTAATCACGGACACACACACACACCTCATCATCATAAATGTGTACAACAAACACACACAACCATAAAGCAACTGGTTAATGAGCAACAAAAGATACCCACACCTATTTACAGATCTGTGAAGATACCTTTGCTGGTGATAAAAAATTATCACGTGCAAGCACACACAAACACAAAGTCGATTGTGCGTATGTCTCATCACTCACCCTTTACAGAGTACAATCTTGCTGCTGAAGTGGCATTAAAACCACTTTGATCAATAAATCAATTTGTAAAAATCTGTCAACAAGGGGGGGCAGAAACGTTTAGTCTCCCTAACAGAAACACAAGGGATGATGGAGAACGAGACAGTGGGCCACCTAACTTTAATTAAAAGCTTCCACAGCCTCCAGAGAATGGGAGTTGAGAGATTCAGTAGAACATACACAAGTCTCATTCTTTCTTGTATGTGCGGAGAATGAGAGGATCTGGTTTAGGAGCGAACGATCAGCAGCTACACACAAAGAAAAAAAAAAACTTCCGATGCTAGAGAGAGGCAGCCAGCATCAGTCTCTGTATAATGATCCCACCGATCCCTCATGCTGTCTGCGCACGCACGTGCATGTGTGTGTCTGCGTGTGTGTCACACTTCGCCTCACGGAAAATTAATGAGATGTGAGTGCGGAGCGAGGCAAGAGGAGGGGAGGCGAGGGGAGTATGTGTGCGTGTGTGTGCGCTCGCAGGGAGGAGGAGGAGGAGAAGGAGGGGTGTCAACGACAATCTGAGTCACAAAGAGAGGAAGAGAAAGAGAGTGCTGAGAGGAAAGAGGGGGGGGAGGGAGAGAGCGGAAACCTGAGAGAGAACGAGAGTAGCGGGCAAGAGGAGCAAAAAAGATGGAGCATGGCGAGAACAAAGCGTGAGTAAGGGTGAAATGGAAGGAAATGGTACAGAAAAAAAAGCAAAAGAGGGAGCTAGGAACAGATGACAGATGCAAGAGCAGAATCTGATGGAGAAAGACAATTTTGGAAAGAAAAAAAGAAAAAAAGAGAAAGAGTCGAGCTATGTCTGCCAGAGTCACAGTCAGGAACAAAGTAGGGGGAGAAAATGAGCTCAATTTAAGAAGAGAGAGTGAAGACTGGGAAGAGACGAAGTGTAAGAGTGTAAAATGTGAAGAGAGAAAGCGATAAGGAGCGAGGATGAGCGCAGCCTATTACCTCGTAGCCCAGCCGTGCGGCTCTCTGGAGCAGAGTCTCTCCGGCGTTCTTGTTCACGATCAGCCGGCGAGCCTCTGGCGGGATCGGACGCACCGCGGGGGGCTCGGCAGGGGGGGTTCTGTGCAGCCCCGCTGCCTCTGGTGGGACACCGCCCCCTCTGCTGTTCGCCTGGGGCTGCAGGCAGGGCGGACAGAGCGCGGCGGGGGAGCACGGCTTGACTGGAGAGCAGGGATAATGATTAGGAGAGGCGGCTCCCTTCCTCAGAGCGCCACGCTGCTCGCTCAGCTGAGAAGAGAGTGAGAGAGAGGGAGAGTGTTAGAGCCACTGGCCTCGCAGATGGGAGACACATTCACACACAAACGCACGGACACCACACACACACACACACACACAGTGAAGCAGTTGTGCGTATATGCACACACACTCACACAAACGTAATTGTTTTTTGACTAAATATTAAAGTCACAAATACAAAACTGGTAAAAGTTTATTACATCCTGTGTCAGTGGTCACTATGAGACCAAATCCATTCAGGAAGAAGAATTATATTTTCGCTAAAGCTTGATGTTTATTCTCCTAAAACAAAATCCTCTCAACTCTTTTGTATACTACCTACATATAGCCTAAAATCTGGATGGACTGTTCATTTTTAACATCTGATTAATGTATAATTATTGTGCATGTAAGACACACTGCACACATCATTGAAAAACACACACAAACACAGCTTTCACACCAACTGTTCACGCCCCAAACACTGCAGGTTGGCACGCCACTTCTCTTTAACCGCTAAACCAACAGAGCCTCTGGAGCGCAGCACACGGGAGAGGGAGTTGCCTGCCTCTGTGTGCGTGTGAGTGTGTGTGTGAAGTGCGTGCCCTCTCAGTGGAATTCCATGTCGAAGCAGCTGTCAGGCTGAGGAGGAGCAGGGGAGGAGAGCAGCGCGGGCGGAAAACAACTAGCCTCCTTTTTTTTTTCCTTCCCCCCTCAATTTTTCCCCATGCTCATTTTTTTTCCCTCCTCCTCTCTTTTGAACTCAGGCACTTCATACGCTCGACCATGGCTGCCACATTCCTCACTGTGTGTGTGTGTGTGTGCGCGAGGGAGTGTGTGTAGCCCTGTGTGAGGCACCGAGTGCGATGTATAATTGCTCCAGGGTTTTGTTGTTATGTCAGGAATGCTCGCAAACACACAGACACTCACAGTCCTGGCACGCACCTACACACAAAACAGCACCGATGACACACGTTCGACAATTAAGGCCAGAGACAAACACACATGCATGCAGGCGCTCCGCAGGGAGTCGCTAAGGGCACGAGGAGGTCAAAGCTCCAGCAGCCCTCTAAACATTGTAAACATACTTCCTTCCTCTCCCTCTCTCTCTCTCTCTCCCAGCTGCATAATCAGAGGCGCCGACAGGCATACTGAAACAGACTCTGCTGTTACAAACATCCAGACGCCCGTATCACAGCCAGACACCCTATCAGCACTCACCTTGTCATCTTCAGCTGCTCCCAGATCAGCTACACAGCGCTGGCCCGGGCTGTTAGGTGTGGCCTCTTTCCTTTTCTCCCGCTCCCGCTGACTAGTGTGTTTGGTCTTGCACGGCCGCTTGCCCTTGGGTTTGTCCGTGTCACTATGGCGACGGGGCTTGAGGGGAGGGGTGCCTCCCACGGACGGCTGTGGGGCCGGAGAGGGGGGGCCCCTCCTGAGCTCCTTGAGGCCACGGTCACCTGAGAAGGGGCCCAGCGGTTGCACTCTGTCCTTCAGTTGGCCGGGGGGAAGGGGAGAAGCAGCTACTCCTGGAGCGGGAGGAGAAGGAAGAGGGAGGAAGAGGGAGGCAGAGTGAGCGGCTGATAGTGTGAGAGCTCAGTGGAAGGGGAGGATGGGAAGGTATTGCAAGGCCATCTCTCACCCTCTGTTGGTTTATTAATGAGCGCACAGAGCTGTCTGGGAGCGCAGCATGCCTGCTCGCTCAGGAAAATGAAAAAATGAAACACACACACACACACACACACAACAGAGGCTCACATAAACACCCGCGTAGTGACTTGTACGCTCGTTCACTGCAGCAAGGACACTGTTATGAGTAATCTCCTTAAACAAATGTGGCACTGTCTGATTTTACTCTCTTATGGTACATATTTACACAAAAAATAAAAACCTGCCCTTGAAACCACAATGTCAAAATGCTGTTTAATAGCTTAATGGAAATACATTTACTCCTAAAGGATCACTAAAAAGCACTTCTAACTACTCAGGAATGTGGTCTAGGCGTCTCTTACAATATAACTTTTAGAATAAACAGTACATTAAAAAAGAACCAATGAGGAGGAAAGTTAAATTATATATCTTGTTGATGCTTAAATATATAAGCACTTTCTATGGAACCCCCGTTGCAGAAAAGTACAGTTTAGAACAAGATTCTTAACAGAAATCAATGTTTTATCTGATTAGTGGGATCCTGAAAAAAAATGGTAGAAAAAAGGAAAGACAGCCCTGACAGACACAGTGGAATAACCACATTCATTGTAAAAACACGGCTGTTGCCACGGTGATGTTATCTAAAGAGGTGAAAGCACACACACAAAAAAATAATTCAGTGGCCAATCAAGGCCTGTGGTTTCTGCAGGAAACATAAAACCAAAACCTCTCCTGCTTTATTCACACTTGCTTTAATCTCTCTCCTGCCTTTTATTCACTTTCGTCTGTGCCTCCCTCAGCCTCAGTTTGGGCACATGAATAAGGGAAAGCCCCAGTTTTAATAAGTTACCCCCACCACACACACTCCCTCTCCCTGTGACTGGTCTTGACGGGGAAAAAAAGAACAAAAAAAATCATTGATCACACATTAGTCACTCTACACCTGCCCACGCATATCTCCACCAGCCACTTCCCTTATTCACACTTTCATCCGCTGTACACCAGCACAACCAAAAGCCCAAAACCAAAAGGTGAGCGGGGTGTGTGTGTGTGTGTGTGTGTGTGTGTTAGCTTTTCGTCCGGTTTCTGATTGCCCAGTCTTTCCTCTAGCAGGAGGAAGTATCCCCTACCTCATTTCCTCTGCACCCTCCCCGAAGGCTCACGGGAAATCCCCCAAAAGACAGACCGCTCAACAAGAAAGTGAAACGTGAGCCAAAGATAGATTTCCGTTACCCCAGCTGAACTCAGAGATACAGCAGCGGTTTGCACGGCTGGCGGTTCATTCTTACCATTAAGTAGCTTCTCGCAGCCCCATTTCCTGTTGATCTCGGCTCTCTGCACCGCAGCTCTTTCCTCCGGTTCGCCAGCCCTGATCTTGCGCTCCCGTAGGCTCTGGGCTGGGGCCACCAAGCGGGACTGGGGCCACGCCCTCTCCTGTTTGATTTGGGAGCCGTCAGGTGAGGCTGCGCCAGCAGCGGGCTTGCTGAGTCGCAGTCCCTTCAGCTCGATGCAGACCTTGAGCTTCCGCACCTCGTCATCGTCATCTTCGTCAGGATTGTCCTGCTCACGCTCATCTGAAAAAAACATAAATAAATAATTGTGATTGTTTGCATCTCTCATATAAAACTACACATATTGCCTAGAATGGTGTAGTCCTCAAGTTTTAACCTCAGTTAAAAGATTAAATAAAAAGATTCACTTCACTCACGTATACAGGTCATTAAAAAAATCCACAGATGAGCTCAGACCACAACACAAATGTGTTGACATTTTGGACGTAAAAGGTTTTCACGCTTTCAAAGATTCTCACCTCCTGCTACACACAAACCTATTGTACGTGCATACATACCGACCAAACAGCTGAGCACAAAGAACAAAGGCCATTAATCACTACATTCTTATGGCTTGTAAAAAAAACCCTCTAAGCCTTATATTTCACACACACACACACACACAGGCAAGAGAGACAGAGAGCAGGATCTGAGACAGACAGATTGAGGAGTAAAAGGGGAAGAGAAGTCAAGAGTCGGCAGAGACACAAAGCAATAAAGACTGGAGCAGCAAAGGGAGAGTTCTCCCCCCTGAAATTCACAGGGGACGGGTATTTGACTCGTCTGCCAGTGCCGGGGAGAGCAGCCGCAATACCTCATGCCAGAAAAAAAAAAAAAAAGGGAACCCAAACAGATGAGGGAAAAAAGAAAGGAGATGAAAAGAGCAGCTTTGAAGAGGGTGGGTAAGCGCAGCGGAGGAACGGCAGAGCTGAGAGAAGAGAGAGAGAATGGCTGTCCCTCTTCCTCGCTTCTCTCTCTCGCACTGCGCTCAAAGGCAGGATTAAACACTTCTCTGAGCTGGCTGCCACACAGAGCGAAAGATGGGACAGAGAGTGGTGGAGGGGGGCGGTGCGGGGGGGAGCGGGGTTGTGACTGAGCGGGTTTAAGGTGGAATTGATTGGGAAGGAGGGAGCGACAAAAGGAATAGAATGATTTTTTTTAAAAGAACAAGGGACGAAAGAGGGCTCAGCATAAGGATGAAGGGGAAAGAACGGCCAGAATTAGAGATATGCACGGAAGGCAGATGAAGAGAGCAA